GATCCACCTTCGCTCTTTCTCTCTCCTCTGCTCCCTCTGCGCAACTCCTTTCTTCACAGCGCACCGGTTCCTTCGCTGCTTGAAACGTTTTCCACTGCCTCCGCATGTGGACTTTTCTAAAACCCCTTTTAGTCCGTAGGAACCCTTACCTGTGGATTTCAAGTATCTTTATCATTTCCAATTCATGGCCTATTTTACAGTGGAATATTACGCGGCCTCAGGGGGAACGGGGTGAGCTTTTAGATGTTACTCTCCCCGTTTGCCCCTGTTGGTGTTTGCTTACAGGAACCCAAAAATTTCACTTTCTGTTATTTCTCACATCTCAGGCTATAATTTTTGTATTCTTCAGATCCTTTTCCTGATGGGCCTTTAATGAAAGTGCCCCTTTTTCTCTGCACTGATATTCCGTACCATCAGCTATTTGTTCATACTTCGCTGCATTACACCAGCCCGTATCCACTTCATAGGTGGTATACGCTCTGTTCTTTATATCTCTCTCCTTCTCGGGCATTATCTATCCGGATTTTGCCTTCCTTGTTTCGTCATTACCCCCCACCGATTCTGTTACTTTGGGGATTTTTTAATTGCCCACCATTTCCTCTGGGGGGGGGGGTCTCACTGTGATTCCCGTGGAATTCAGTTAGAGGCTTTTCTTGCCACCCACCCCTTTCCCTGTTTTAAATACAGGTACTCCCACCCATTTTTGATCCTCGGACTCGTACTCTCTCTTGCATCGATCTCTCAGTTTGCTCTTCCTCCGCCACATTAGACTTCACTTGGACTCTTCCGTGATCATTTCCCAATCATTCTTACTTCCCCTTCATATTCGCCACCTCTTCGCACCCCACACTGGCCATTTAATCGGGCAAATTGGAAAACCCTTTACTCACACCTAACTGTTTTTAAAGAGGTTCCTTCTTCGTCCTCCATCGATGAGCTTTTACACCTCTTCTCGTCCTCCGTTTTCACCGCAGCTTCTCATTCTATACCCCAAACTTCGGGCAGGCATCCGCAGAAATGCGTGCCTTGGTGGTCTCCTGCTTGTGCTCGTGCAGTACGTTTGAAACGCGCTGCATGGGGCAGGTACCAGTACAATAGAACCACAGAGTGATCCTTGATTTAAACAGAAGCGTGCATCCCCTCGCCGTGTCATCTGTGCGCTTAACGCACTTGTGGGGATTATGTCTCCCCCATAAACTTTTTCCTTACGAGTGCAGTCGGGAAAAAAAGTACGAAAACCGGGGGTAAATTTCCCCTGCCCCGGCCCCTGTTTGCGGGTTCCGGTTTTGTATAGAAAACCCCTAGTGTTCCCAAAAAAATTTGGGGGCAATATTGGTCTGTATTTCTGGGGGACTCCTCTATGCCCCTCATTTTTTTCCTAAAGTCTGCGGGGTTAGCCCCTTGGACTTTTCTTTCTAGAGAAGAACAGTAAAATGTGTTTTTACACTTAAAGAATGGGGGGCAAACATCTCGCTTTCGACATCGGCACTGGGCCGAGGGCTTTATTTTGTATGTTTAAACTTTTTCATCGTCACCCTTTTCACCCTTTACCCCTTTTACAATTTTATTTGGTCCAAGGGTTTTTCCCACGCTGTGGAAATCCGCCATGTTCTCCCTTTCCCGAAAACCAGGCACTCGGACTGAACCCCCATAGGGGTCCCATTGCTCTTCCCCAGGCATTTTGGAAAGTAATGGAAACGCCTTTTAAATAAGTTTAGTGTGGTATTTAGAGACACAAAACAGTCTCCCACTCGTCAATATGGCTTTGAAAAGGGACGTTTACCAAGACCCCTTATGCGCTTCGATACGTATGTTCGTAATCCCTTTCAAATAACCCTCGTTTTTGCCATATTTTTTGCCCTTGAGAAGGCATATGACAACTTGCGGGTTAAAATTTAGCCCAAACCCACCCCCTGGCCTTCGAGCAATCACACCCTTCAAGGACTTTTTAACTGACAGGTTTTCCGTTTCGGGTTTTAATAATGCTCCCCCGGATTTCTCCAAGTAAAAGGTGTCCCCCAGGATGTGTTGAGACACATTTCTCCTTGTTTTAATGATTGGCCTTAGTCTTCATCAAATATTTAGTCATCACTATGTTGATGACTTGCTTTTTCCGTGCAGGCGCTGACGTCGTCACCTTACAGTTTCTCTCCAACATGCAGTCGACCGTGTTTCCAATTGGGCCACCACACGTGGGTTTAAATTTTCCAGCACTAAAACCCACCAAATCACTTTCACTAGACGCTCTGTCATCTCCGATCACATTTGCCCTATGGCTCCCCCTTTCCCTGAACGTGTACGTCAGTTTTTGGCCTCCTCTTTGACGTAGGGGTTTTCCCGGAAACCTCACATTACCTTCGAAAGCAACTTGTCCAGCGGTTGAACCTCCTTAAAACCCTTGCTGATCGTTGAACCCTCCTTTGCCTACATTCCACCCTTTTTTTTCGAACGTTATGGTGACCAGATCTATTCATGGATCCCCGCTACTCTCTCTGCCCCAACCCCATTCTCAACCAAAGGTTTCTTTATGCCTTGGTGCTTTCCCCCTTTCCCCTGTCGGAGCTCTAGCAAAGCGCGTTCCTTCCCTTTCCCCATAGCCCTGATGCCCATTGGGCCCGCGTATTTACGCTTTTCAGATCTCCGCAATCCTTCCATTTATAAATGGGGGCACCCATATTTTTTGACATTCTTTATTTGTTCGCCACCCCCCATTTACTCCCTCCCTTCTTTTTCGCCTTCATTCGCTCTTGTCTTCTTTCAATACCACCTTTTTTTTTTTTTATGTACATATAGCATCTCACTTTTCCCTCCCCCCTGGGGGAAATTTCCCGCTTTCGAGTGTTCTTTCTTCCCCCCCCCTTGCTCGAAAGCCCAATGTCTACGGGTTTCTTCCCGCTCTCTTTCTTTCCACTTTCCCTTTTTCTCATGCCATTGCTGTGTACCGATGGCTCTAAGTCTTTGACGGCGTAGGATTGCAGCAGGTTTTCCCGGGCGCGTTGTACAAGGGCATTTTCTATCTTTGGTTATTTTTACTGCTGAATTTTATGCCATCCTTACACACTTATCCGTATTGCATCTATGCCTGTCATCATTTGTGGTTGTCTCAGACTCCCTTAGTGCTTTACAGGCTATACAAAAATTTGATACACCTCACCCCTTAGTCCTCCGTATCCAACTTTGGCTACGCCACATCTTTACCAAGCATAAAGATAGTTTTTTGTTGGGTCCCTGGTCATGTTGACGTACAGGGCAATGAACAGGCAGACACTGCTGCGCGGTCAGCAGTACATGACCTACCAGTTTCTAAGAGGTATTCCATTTATGGACTATTTTGCTGCAATATCTTCCCACTTTCACACCCGTTGGCAACAACGTTGGTCTACTATGCTCGGCAACAAACTTCAGTCTATTAAACCGAGTATAGGTTACTGGCCGTTTTCTTATCACCAGTGTCGAGGTTGGGAGACTACTCTCTCCCGTCTTCGCATTGGCCATACTCGTCCTCTCATGGATATCTCATGGAGAGGCGTCTTGCTCCTCTGAGAATTGCCAAGCTCCATTATCAGTCAGCCACATTCTGTTGGACTGCCCACTATCAACGAGCATGCAGAATTTACCTCTGTAGTCTTCACTCCGCTGCTCTCTCTTTACCTTCCCTTCTCGCTGATGGACCCACCTTTCATCCGGACTCTCATTGACTTTTTGACGACTGACTTGCTTCACAAATTCTGATACCTTCAGCCCTTTCTACTTCAATCTCTTGCTACCCTCTACCCCCGTACTATCCCCTGCCTCGCTGTTTTCTGTAACCTGCTGATCATCCCCCCTCCCTTCTGCCATCCAATTCCCTTGCTTCCTTCCCTACCCTGCAGCGCTGTATAGCCATTGTGGCTTTGCGCTTCTTTTTGATAATAATCCAGCCATGCCCAAGACAACCTCAACATCACTAGTGCAGCATTATAATCATGGGGAGCACTACACCCGTAGGATTATACAGCACATGTGGGGGGAGGGAAGGTATTCACTCAATTTGGGCAACCAGACCAACAAACCAAATTCCCTAGATCAAGAGCCCCTCACCAGCATCCTCCCTTCAGAGGGTGAGCATGGAACCAGTGCCACATCCTACCTGCAAGTTATTCTAGAGATGAACGCCCCTTGCACCCCGGTCCATGACCAGGCCTCCCGGTGATCAGGGCTTTGCCAACCAGGCTGTTACTGCTGGCCGCATGTAGTCTAACATACGAACCACAAATAAGCTGATCTAGCACTGACTTTAGGTATCTCTCCAGCTTCCTCTCGAAGGCAGCCAGGGACTGATTAGTAATTCCCCTTATGCTTGGTGAGAAGCCAGTAAACCAGCAGTCTGGGAGAGCAACCTCACACCCACCAGGCCACCTAGGTCGACGAAAGAGGGTGGCCAGACACCCACAAAAAACACTTCCTTTGGCCACCACCCTCTGGAATTCAAAAAGTAGCTTCCAGAAATACACCATTACCATAAAGAGACCCAAAACCACCCCTTGCCACACGCCCTGCTGGGAGACCAGAGGGAGATCTGGACATCTTCAGGTGGTCCAGATTTAATCACAAACTACACAACCAAGGATCTCAATGAAATGGGATGGACCCTAGTACCCTTCCCCCTATTTAGGGACTATAGTGCCTATGGGAAGAATCCCAAAGGCTGAAAAGAGGAAAGTAATAAAGGAGGGATGAGGAGAAAAGTTATTTGGGATGGGATAGTGTCGGGATTGTGGGGTAATTAGGTTCGGTCTGAAGATTGAAGTAATTCCTCAGACCGATAGCTTCTTATCGTGCCAATGACCCCAAAATGAGGAAAATATATATTCTGCCTTTCCTCATCAACTTAAATTTTAACACTAACTCATTTTAGTTGAAATTGGCAGTCTCGTGTAGGTTCCCGTTTGCTAATTCGAATGAAGAAATTTCGTGTTATAATGGTTTCCATATAACTATTGGACGTAAAATTAAAAACATTCTGCATGGATAACTTTTTATTAGACGAACTAACTAAATCATGAAAGTCTCACAGTCCAAAAGATTTGAACCTGAACACTGCATCAAAATACACAGTACTCTCGTCCCACAGCCAGAAATTCAATGCGTGTGGCGGGATTAGATGAAAACCTATCAAGAGCCTGATTTTCCTGGGCATGGGAACTAAAACCTAGCTTCTGCTAGGCACTTAATTATTGGGGCTCTGACTGGGGAATGTACAATTATAAATATATTTACATATATAATAAACTGTTAACAGAGTTGTCTAAATATGCTCCATTTTGTAAATCTACTAAACAGTTATATGATCAAGCATTTAAATAGAGTAAATGAGCGATAAAATATGGTAATGTTTTAAACATGTAATAATTATTAGAGGTTAATAGTGGGTGTCCAGGTTAATATATAATTTTTATAAGTTACGCTAAATGATTTTACCCCTGACACTAAATATTTTATTTATAATATGCTGAAGTATTAAAGTAAGCACTAAGCCGAACAGATTACCCAGTGGCCTAAGAATTTAAGTTGAAGCTATCATTTAGTTTAAATACTAAATTTAATTAAATTCCAGTAAACTTTTGCATGGCATACCAAGGTTATGTAAATATAAGGATGGTTTCTGATCTACACTGCGTATGTCAATTATTCAAATATTTGACAGTGGAACTTGGGTAGGGCAGAACAAGCAGTAGTAAGAGAGGACCTTAGTCTTTCCTATAGATCAAGCAAATGTCAAAACCAGCATTGAGTAATTAGGAGGTGGTAGTTTTATGACTTTATAAGGGCGAGCGAGTATTAGACATTTGTCTGACAATATGGCCAGGGTTGTGCACAGTACCTCTAAGCAGAGTTGCAGCTGACGGTAATATCCTAATTTTGACTTTACTTTCGTTTCTGTGATTGTGTGCCTTAAGGCCTGAAATTAAAATCTGAATATGCTTTCATTTTTTTACATATACCCTTAGTTTTATGCATATAAAATTCCATGTAGTTCATGTAATTTATAACATAACAACTCTTAATGTGTGCCATAAACTTGTGGAGATTTAACTTTTTTTTTTCAAGTAAAATTCAATAAATCTAAACTGACCTATGAAATTTATATATAAATGTGTGCAAGGGAAGATGGAAAGCAGAGCTGCTACTAGTAACCAAGCACTGCTCAGAAAATATAAAAGATTCAGATCAAGTAAAAACAGTTAAGAAAAAATTGAAAAAATTAACTTTTGCCCGTTTGTTGTTTAAGAAACTTCATAATCACACTAGTATGTTAAAACAGTTGATAATTTTCGTAAAACTTTAAAGTACTCATATTTCGAGTCTTCCACATACAAACTATTAGTTGTGCAATACCTGGGGGAGTTTGCTTTTTGAAGAAACGAAGGTAAAAAATTTGGTGTAGAGGTGGAGCCTTTCATTCAAGAGGAAGATGAAGAGCTGGATTCGGGGAGAAAGTAATGCAGAGGCTTGATGCTAGGGCTGTAGAGGATGTCGTTAAGGATGCAGTAGAGTCTTCTCTGAAGCCTAGTACTGGAGTAGAGTAGGTTGATGCTAGACACGCACCATACTACACTCAGCTGCTCGCTTAGCATCATGTCTTCGTCAAACACATTCCTGTAAGTATATAAACACGTATTGTTATAGTGAAGTTGAGATCATTTAGTGGATGTAACCGTTGTGATATTAATCGGTCCTTTCCTTGTGGTTTTGTAGAAATGTTCATTAACAGTGGAATATTTTAACTGGTTGGCGATCTTAAAGGTCTTGCTAATAGTAACTTTAGTAATTAGCTTTCAGTGGTTAGTATTTTTCATGATTTACTACAGACTTCTGCGATGCTCCAGCAAGATGTTTTTCCTGGGAAATGACGGAGGTAAAAAAGACCTAGCAAGGCCTGCACTTAGTGAAGTAGATAAATTTATATATAACATCACATTACATAATTTAATATATATAGCCCCTTGTTATGCAGAGTATTGGGGTTAATTACATTAATTTTGTCCTAGGATGCTACCCACACCAGTTTAACACCCAGGTACCCATTTCGCTTATGGGTGAAAATGGACAGCGGATGTGTTATGGAAACTGTTCCCCAGTCGTCCCGGGGATTGGAACTCGGGACTTCAGAATGATCCCAGTGCGCTAGCAATCGAGCTACACTATTTTGAGTCCGTAGTGGAAACCAGTCTGAATATTTTGGGTTATTCTAGGCAATTTTCACATGTTACCATGATAATTTGTGCAACTACAGTAAACTTTCTTGTCATAGTAGACTAGCATCTCTTATGCTACACAAGTTAATTTTACTAATTCAAGTAAAAATATTAAGACCTGGCAGGTCGACTCAAAATATTCTATATTTCAGGGTTTATAGTAGGTGAAAGACCCACGATGGTCATTTTTACTGATCCTCACAGCCCTAGTCAATTTTGAAAGAACTTTAAATTTACAAACTAAAGTAAATTTATTAATTTTTTTATTGCACAGCTAAGCATTAATTTAGCGAGTCATAATTCTGTACTTTATGAAGACCCAAGCAACTGAAATTTTAATAGCTCAGTTTGCTGGCACATCAGCTTTCATCAGTCGGATGTTAAGGATGCTGAAGATAGAAATTTAGAGATAAGAGGCTTTCGGTCTGTTTCAAGAAAACTATAAAAGTTGAGGGATTCATGAATTAAAGTTTATTTCTGCACTCCAAATGCTTGCAGTGAAAATGTAGATATCCGCGGATACTGATGTGTATGACGTCTTAATTATTTTGCTAATGCGCATGTGTTGTCAGTATTGTCTACGGTTAAGATAATTGTTGCTAAACAGATTGAGAATTAGTACAAGACACTTGTCGTTTTAACACTTCAGCATAGAAACCACGGAACTAGTCTGGTTTGCACCTATGGCAAAAATTTAAAAAATTAAGTTTACGACCTCGAAGTGTGCATTCAATTTTATTGCAACCCCGTCTAGTCTATAAACTATAAACTCAACAAATCCTGTTTCACTCGTGCTGGGAATTTTTTTCTACTCTACATCCAACAATTTTAGGTGTAAAAGTAATCACTAAAATCGTTAAAGTTTAACTATTTGCAGAAAATACCTCGGGTAAGCAAGGCCAGCGTCGAGGTCTTTCAGGGTATCGTTGAACGCCTTGAAGTATTCTTCCTTGGCCTGCGACGATACTTGTCGGCGCACCTCAGGCTCCACGCCGATACTTAGCATGTAAACGAGGTCATAGGTTCCTTTGCTGTACCTCGCCTGTGCCCAGTCGATCAGCTATTAAGGGCAAATAAGAGTAAGTTTCTTACTGTGTACACGATCTCAAGGCTGGTAGCACAACCAAACTGTGCTGTGGTTGATGCAGAGTTGCATCTACCCTAGTCCTCTTATTGCTACAAGTTGTGGTGCTGTGTCACAGCTGTTATAGTTGTTTTATCTGTTACAATGTTACATATTCCAGTGAAGTTAACAAGGTTATAATAGATGCACTGGGATTTTAACTAAAATCAGGAGTCCTCGTTATGCGTTGCATTGTGTTAGCCATGCATCTGACTAAGCTGAAGGTAGTGTTTTTAGGATAAGCTAGAACAGTTAAAACGTTGAGTGCAATGAAGTGGAGATGAGTAAGAGTGCAAGTGGCTTGACCACTTCATGAAAGTTTAAGTGCCTGCTGGCTACTTTTGGTAGCCTTTAAATTTGTTGCACAAAGAGGATTTTTCCTACTAGGATGTGAAAGATACTTTTTTTTGCAATTATAAACCCATATATTGAAGAGGTCTTAGTGACAAGATTCACTACAATAAAAGTCTTCACATGGCAGACTTCCATATACTTTGTTGTTAATCAAGAAGTTTGGATTTTAATAATTACCTCTAAGTATTGTCTTTGCTATCGTTAAGAGGTGTTTAAAATGGTAACTTGTATTCTAACTTACTTTTGTGTAACTGACAAAGTTATCTTGTGGCAATCAAGGTTAGTATGTTTGCCTCTAGGTTATGGGGAGCGCTACCCTGTACTGATTATACAGGGCCTCTTGAGGAAAGGAGGGGGATGGGGGAGGATGGACCGAAATCTTTCAGGCGTAATTTAGAGAAGTAGACCACAGAATCAGTTAGGTCAAGAAAGCTTCACCAGCATCAAAGAACTAAACTGGAAGTGCGGCTAGTCTAGGTCTACTGGAGGTACAGTCTTACTTTCGTATCTGGACTGAACTTCGTAATACACTATCTCAGCGTAACATCCTATTTTGACCAGAAATATCCTGTCAGTATGTAACCATACCATCAGGAAAGTGCTTACCCCTACCTTTATGGTACAGTCTCCGTCAGCAGTGTACTTGAATAAGATGTTGGTTGGCTGGGGGTCTCCATGAATGGCAGTGGCGAAGGGTTCTCTGGGGAGGAGGTTGTGCACGACGAAGGTTGTGGCGTGAGTCTCGTAGGGCTTCAGCAGGGATAGGAGGGCTGCTCGCTCAGGCAGCCCTTCCCACTCTTGGTGCAGGCTGTATGTGTTAAACTGCGGTTTGAAACTTCATTCTCAGTCGTATAGTAATTATTGCTTTATATACATAGAATCATCCACTTTATGAATACAATAACGAATATTAAGTGTGGGGAATAAGTTCAATATCAAAGCCCTTTGAGGTACATGGAATATTAACTATCGACACGACTTTAGACTGGAATAGTTTATTAACGTGCACTGTCAGTTTTAAAGGGTCTCCATTTAGTAATGCGACAATGTTAGTTGAAAAGTTTCCCGTCTAATGGAAAAGTATTTTAGTCTTGGATAATCTGTCACAAATACTAGAAGAGTTGCAATCTGACAAAGCGGTGAGCAATAAGATGGAGAAAGCAACAAGTAGACTAAAAAACATTAAAGCATTAAAAAAATAAAATGAAACATTTGTGGATATTCACCGTTCGAATCCTGCTTTATGGAAGAATGTGAAGAGCTCACTTTGGTCGTGAGCTACATGAAAGCAGGTGGGGAACGAGTCTTGCAGGTTGGTCTTCGTAACCATCTTGAATGCAACTGCTGTCCCATGGAACCTGCCTAGTGCTCGTGCCGTCACCATAACTTCTGGCCCTGACAGACCCTCTTCCAGTAGCCTCGTCTGATATAACGAAATAAGTGTTCTTTAGCGGTACACTGGTACATTTCTTCCTTGCTGTAATAGCACTATTAGGATTAAAGTGTAGTTAGTGGTAAAGAAGTTTCATGCATCCTTAACTATCATAGTTAAGAAACTAAACCAAATTAACCAACCATTGGATTAGTTTACCCCCCGGTTTGCTTCGCTTGTCAGGTTGCCTCAGCATGGTGAGATTTAAGTGGTTTGCAAAAGATGTTGGAAGGCTTTCCGAGTGGAGGGGATGAAAGCCCCTCTTAAGGTGCGTGATTATGAACCCATCATTTTTATGGAATTAGTAACTAATAAATCGTTCGTAAAGACAGTTTTAACAAGTGACAATTGAAAATGGCTTGTGGGACGAGTTTAACTTCCTTAGTCTGCCTTGTCGCGAGGATTGTAGTTAAGAAATTTATAGGAAATTGGTACTTTGATAAATTGATCATTAGGGAAAAAATCAGGAATATCAGCTCTTTTTCTGAGGAATAGGAACAGGAGTAAAGGAAATTACCATGTTGCTAAAAGCTATCGCGTCAATGAAGAATGCACAAAATGCACTTCACCTGGACTTTCACCGTGTATGTACTCGCCTGATAGCCAAGTTGTGTGAGGTCTGGTAGAACGAGAGTGAAATAATGGTCGTCGCTGACTGCCAAGACGTGTGAGGGTACTATCTCTGCCATCATACCCACGTCCACGCCCCGCCGCTCCGCCTCCCATGTCACCAGCACCCGCAGGAACTTCCCGTACTGGTTCACTTCGCTGTGGTGCAGCCCTTCAGACGTTAACATATCCCTGCAAGTGATGTAAACGTTGTGGGTCATCTAGGTGTATTCCAGAGAAGTGATTCCTGTCTTCTCTTGCACCTACTAAACATCTTACCTGTACTTCTGTAGTGGCTTATCAAGTCTGTACTACCTTATATATTCCCTCCACCTGTATCCATACATTCTCATCCTGGTTTCCAGTATCAGTCATTTGAGTTAAAGGTAATATTTCCCCCTCTCCCCCACCATCCACAACTTATTGAGTAGCCTCATCCATCTAGATTAAAATTAACCTGAATTTTCTCTTTAAACATTTGATTCTTTTGTTCCTTCTCCAATTTATAGTTCCATTTTATCGACGACCACGTTTTCCTCTTTACCTCTATCCTTTCCTCCTACTTTCTCACTTATCTTTATACCCCACGTCATGCTAGTTCTCAATTTAAAACGACACGTACCCGTTTTCTACCTCTCATCGACCATCAAGTAGTTTCCGTTGATAAACGGAGCTCCGACATTGTGCAAACGGGAGTAGACCCGATATTTTTATGCTCATGGTTCCTCCGTGTACGTTGGATTTAAATTAGTGCAAATAGGCCATCTTAGACGGATTAATAAGCGATAACCAATACGAATTTTCATAAAGTTTCCAGAACATAACATCTAGTCTACTCGAAAATGTCTAGGAAAGGAAACCTTAAAACCAGGTTACATGTATTTTGAACAATTAAGTGTAGCGATAATGGTCCAAGAGGGACCGAAATTAAGGTTTCTTTCCTGAGGAATTTGCGAATTGTGATATTATGAAAGATACTTTCAAATGTATTATGAAAGTAGTGTCGCCCAGTGATTACTATACTTTAATATTTAAAGTTGAAGAAATTTAGTAAAAGTAGTTGCTTGTTACTTTGTTGTCTGGACGCATGTCTTTTTTTTTAATCTATTAATAAGGATAGGTTTGTCAATACGTTCACCTTGCATCAGTTTGTGCAGTCTAACTCCCAGCGGTTTTCACAAGTGAGGGAGGACGCGTAGAACATTCCTAGACTGACTGCCACGCCCGAGTTATGCTAGTATTACCAGCTCTACACTACAGCACCTTTCAAGGCAGGTGAAATTGCCAACCTAGAAAATGTACAGAGAACTTTCACGGCGCGCATAACGGAGATAAAAACCTCAATTACTGGGAGCGCTTGAGGTTCCTAAACCTGTATACCCTGGAACGCAGGAGGGAGATACATGATTATGTACACCTGGAAAATCCTAGAGGGACTAGTACCGAACTTACAAACGAAAATTACTCACTACGAAAGCAAAAGACTTGGCAGACGATGCACTTTCCCACCCCCCAATGAAAAGCAGGGGTGTCACTAGCACGTTAAGAGACCATACAATAAGTGACAGGGGCCCTAGACTGTTCAACTGCCTCCCAGCACACATAAGGGGGATTACCAACAGACCCCTGGCAGTCTTCAAGCTGGCACTGGACAAGCACCTAAAGTCAGTTCCTGATCAGCCGGGCTGTGGCTCGTACGTTGGTTTGCGTGCAGCAAAAGCCTGGTTGATCAGGCTGATCCACCAGGAGGCCTGGTCACAGACCGGGCCGCGGGGGCGTTGACCCCCGAACTCTCCAGGTAAACCCTCACCTGGCATAATAGCAGTCAGCCGTGGCTTGCTGATCGCAGAAGCAGCAGATGCTGGCTGTCTACAGAAAACATAAGCAGACGTACAATCATGTTTATTACATTCACTATGGGATACGAAGTTGTCTGCAGTGTCCTGTGTACACTTAAGGTTTGTCTCATGTCCAGGATGGCCTTTAGTTGTGTACTTCGTTGACACATCACAGTATAATCGATTTTCAACCCATTGACCATTTCATCGCCACAAGGATAGAGAAAAAAAAAAAAAAAAAAGTTGAAGTGGAAGTAGACAAGCAGTCTTAAGAAGGATAAACCCACTTTGTGTATACAGATTTAAGAGCAGAAATTAAAGAGGCATAAAAAAAAAAAAAGTTCAAAACTTCGTATTTAGCCAGGGAACATGGGAAGAAATTAATCATTTAAGCTATGACTGGGAGCAAGATGAGAAAACGAGGTAGAGGGAGATGGAAGAGTAGAGGAATAATTTATTTCAGGTGCTCAGAATGCAATGTATAACTAAGCTTTACAAGACAGTATGTCGCGTAATATAGCATAGGTACATAAACCATAGCATTCTATAAAATAAGTAATTTTGTTGTAGAATAAAGGTAGAAATAATCCTCTGACAATCTTGACAAAAGGCTTAGCATTTCTCAAAATATTGTGGGAAGAACATGTATAGGTGGATTGTATCTGGAGAGAGAAAAAAAAAAAAAAAAAAAAAAAAAAAAAAAAAAAGTGTTAGAAAAATGTCTAGAAACCAAGTAAAACAAGTAGAAGATTCTAGTAAATATTTGACAGCCTTGCCAATTTAATCACTGAACAAATATACGAAGCAGTTCAACTGTGCAGTTACACTGAATAAACTTTTTAGCATCATTGAGTAATCGGAGAATGTAGAGCAGGAAAAAAAAAAAAAAAAAAAAAGCATGGTATGTAGAGATAAAAGGCGATACAAAATAGTTTCAATCTGTATGCACTGGACTAACTTACACCATGACTCCCTGTGAGGGGACAGTCTTCACCACAAAAGTCTCTTCCTTCAGCTGTTCCTCTGTCGTTGCTGGATGCTCCACGTCGCCCATTACCTCGTACTCAACCTTGACTATCACCCTCGAGCTGCAGCCACCCCCAAGGGTTTCTTTGGATTTTAAATCTTGTAGACACCACTTTCTCAGTCTCACTGTACCTCCTATTCCTGGTAGGAGAAAAGTAGGTTAGCATGTATTTCTACAGCAGATCCTACTACAGATTTTTCTTCCATTAATTTTGATGTTAGTCTGTTAATGAAAATTTGATAAAAGACAGGTAAACGAATGGATTGATCAGAATCTAATTAGCTATTGCTAAGCGATACACTTAAACCTATCACATATGGAAGATTTTTTGAACAATCTTATTGTACAAGGAACCTAAAGATTTTGGTAGTACATTTTTTTTTTATCATGTACAGTAATATGGATAAATACTCAAATCATGAATCACTAACTTGAACAAATTTAATCCTACGTTATTTAACTTTAAATACAAATCAGATGAACCCGAGGTACGTTCTTCCCCCCACCCTGTTTAATTTATCTTATCGCTTCCTAACTTCATTAGCACAAGTTTTGTAATGTCTATACTCCAGGTTGAGGCTTTTCCCCACAAAAATTAAGTTAACTGTAGCAGTACAATTTAACAAGTCTTCATGGATTTGTTTGGTCCCCATATAAATTTTTAACTGGTAGACTCTGCAGCCACAGCTCGGATCATGATAGTGGAGATTTGCTCAATCCATGATACACGGGGATGTGCCTTTTCTTTCTCCATGGAGGCATGAGCTGTAAAACTCGAACGAGAGGGAAGAAAATGGTCACAACCACTAATCCATTGTGTAAAGAATACGGAGGTGTTGGAAGAAAATCGATATGTCGAGTCACGAGCAAGGCATTTAATGAAGATCATTAAATTTATTGCACATAAAATGAATATGTATAGTGGAGAAAGTAGGTAACTAGTACTCTGCTTCGCCAGACAATATACAGAGCGATACTAAAAATCTAAAATTATCAAACTTAAAGCTTAAAACTCCAGGGTACAGTTCTGGTGCCTATCCTGTTCCTCAGCCTCATTAAAGAATATTTTCAACGTCAATCTGTAGATATCAAATGTGCATGAAAAATCTTGTGCCCTCTTTTCGTAAGAATAATGTTAAGTGTTGACTGTTCTAAGGGCAGGAGAAATATTAAAACTCGAGCAGAGGGAATTATTTATGACCCGCAGAGTCAATAAGAATTATAGTTATTGGGAACGACTCGCGTGAGATGTATGCAATTTAATGAAAACCATAATATAATTGTGAAAGTCAAATTTAGACAACCATAACATTGAGTGAAAGGGGAGAAAAGTTAAATTACACGCAGTTCAGGAGTATTGTGGGAACAGTATAAAAATCTAATCAAATTTTTTGGCATCTTACCCAAAGATAAACTGCTGGAGGAAGTGAAAATTTGATTTCAACAAACACCCCCGCCTACTTCCAGATCTGGAATGATGCGATTATGTAGACCAGTGGGCTGCCAGCAGGAACAGCCCGAGTGACCAGGCAAGCATCATACAAGCCTGACCCAGTGCAGCGTTGCAGAAGGAAAACTAAACCTACATGTATTATTTTTATTATTATCACACTGGCCGATTCCCACCAAGGCAGGGTGGCCCGAAAAAGAAAAACTTTCACCATCATTCACTCCATCACTGTCTTGCCAGAAGGGTGCTTTACACTACAGTTTTTAAACTGCAACATTAACACCCCTCCTTCAGAGTGCAGGCACTGTACTTCCTATCTCCAGGACTAAAGTCCGGCCTGCCGGACCTACATATACCTACATGTATATGAAAGCATAATCTGGCGAGCTTTATCTGGGTCTTGCCAGGAGCCAAGGTCTGCACATAACCTCGCCCTTGCTACGGTTTTCATAGGAAAAAAAGGGATCTGTCTGCCCAACACATGAAGTTTAATGTCTGGACATCATTCACTTTTGCAATTTGGCCTGTATTTCATCAGGGAGATAAGGTTTTCCTTTACAAGTGCCACATACGTCTTGTACAGTGACTGGGGGGTCCCTAATTTTCGGGCTCTAATGAACTGGCGAAATTAACAGTGGTGATTGAGATTTTGTATTCTGATAATTCCGGTTTATCAGCTCTGTATTAAAGAGCTCTGTTGTCCTTGGCTCGATACACTTCCTCCAAGACTGGTTGGGAAGATATAGTAGTTAACCTATATTGATGCGCAGCACAACTATACGAAGGTGTTTCACCAGGACATGGCCATCAGTCAGATGCCGAGAAATCTGATATTTTGTAGATTATACAGCCAACTTTTGCCTTTTGACATCTTGGCAGGCACTGGGTCCTACATACGGGCAATAATTTATGTATAAATCGACAGGACGTGTTTGGCGGGTTATCTTTATATGAAAAAATTTAAAATCTTTTTACACAATAATTGTCACACGCCTCACTGACAGTAATATTCTTGAAGGTGCTCCTATGTTTTTTATCGACTGGCAAATTTTAAATTCCAAAAACTAATCTTTTTGCTGTAGTGATTTTCATATTGACTGGAGAGCCTGTTGGGACTGATTAAGTCTGGTGTATATTTTTTTTTAAACTATGAAGTTTGAGAATTTTATGGTTTGTGTGCGTGCGTGTGTATTTTTAACATTTAATTGGGGATTTACCTACAAGGTAAAGACACTGCAACCTGGGTTCTTCAGTTTCCTCAAATTGTTACTATAATGTGATCTCCACGCTAGCTCGCCTCTTCTATTCCACCAGTCTTATGCAGACTCTCCAGCTTTAACTTGGACTGGGAATATAGGGATTATCTTCCCCTAGGTCTTATGGAGGAGAAAATCAATTACCCTAATGAGATTGATGCATATGAATTTGCCGGCTTACACTAGTTTTACCAGAACGTTGTAGTTTAAAGTACATGAAGAAAAAGCCGATTCATGGCCAAGAAATTTTTATAATGTTATAATGCCTAGCAAGGAACCAAAGAAAACAAAATTATTCACGAGCAAGCAGATTACAGCACTGAGTTAATGTACCAGTCTCGCGATTTAGGGACGGGGTTAGTCGTGGCTTAATTAACGGCATTAATGCCCCGGCGTAGATTGAAACTGGGCACAATTCCTTGCACCGGTTGTCTCTGGGTGTTAATAGACTTGTGGGTTGCATCCTGGGGGAAAATACGGAAGGACAACAATGGAAATAAAAGTTCTTAGCACTGATATTTGCGTTATCTTGGGTGGCCAACACTTCAGTAAAAAAATCCAAACAAATCTTAACACTGATTAATAATACACAAGCATTTCACAAATTTAAACACTAATGAGAAAAAAATTAGCACACTAGAGGATTACCAGAGAGGTTATGGTGGTGGTGGTACTGAAGAAGATTCAGCACCCACGTCTCCGTGATATCGTTGGCACTCCTCACTAGCAACTCTTGTTCAGCCATCTTAAAGATTCTGGCGAGAACTTCTTGCACTGAGTGTCTACTAACCTGTAACAAAAAGTCTTACAAGACTTAATGATTGTAGCTGTGGTTATAATTGTGGTAGTAGATTTGGTCCCAATTATGGTTACCGTGATGTTTGTAGGAGCGTTGATTGAAGTATTGTTAGTAAAGTTTATCGTAGTTGTGATTATAGGAATTTTAGTTGTGGTGGGGGTAGTAGTGGTTATTTTGGAGGCTGTGGTGGTGAAAATTGTGATAATGGTGACACTAAAGGTGAAAGTGGCTGGAAAATGGAGGCTTTAAGAGATACTGATTGGGACTTTTTTGATAGGCATAGTGGTGGCCCTAGTGATAGTACTGGTAGTGATTAAATACTTTATGGTACTAGTGGTAGTGTTGATTGAACGAATTATGTTGGTGGCTCTTGTTATGCATGATAATTACGGGGTAGTGACTGGCATTAGTGATAATGTTGGTGGCACTAGTGATAGTTGCACTGCTAGTGACATCAATTTTCTTACGTGTTGATATTCAGTAAAGGGTGGGTGGAAGAGTTTTTAATTTAGTGAAATCGCATGTCATTCAATTCTAGTGGATAAGCATTCTCATATTTCGTGCCTAGACAGGCACACGAGGTACTGGTTAACTGGTCTACCATGAAAGGAGAGAGCCATTTCCCTCAGGCACATTGGGAAGCAAGTAATGATAATTTAGTTGCAAGAGATAGCCAACAAATCAGTATTGGTTAAACAATGGAAGTAATTTTTTTTGAAGACAGGTAGACAATTTACTTGTCAGGGAAAGCCCTAGTGATGACTGCTAATTCAGATAGGCAGCTAACACGAACAGTATTCTGTTTACACAAGACGCACAGAGGAGCTTACGACTAAGCTTTGGTGACTGACCATTTACTTTTTAAATTGGCTAAGTCTGATCGATACGTCGTAAGCTCTTCTTTGAGAGAAAGTTATTTGTGCATTGTTCCAGTCACTAGTGTAACTAATAATTTAGTATTTTGTTATTTACGCACATAACAGTCCAACCCACTTCCCAAGCCAAACTTACAGCCGTACCCAGAGAACCATACGCACATTCACAGCCTGCCTGGTAGTCCTCTGTCATTACAAGCAGACATCAATAGCATGAAATTGCCGTTAACTGAACAGAGATATTGCTACATTTCTTTGTAAATTAGACTAGGGAACATACCAAAATATCAATAGGGTAGAGCTTTGAAAATTGCAAAAGCCATTTGTGATCCTTTACGAGATATGGAAGTAGACAGCACACCATCACTATCAATCCCCACAATTCACTCAAACCATATACACTAGACATGTAAACTAAGTACCAAGTATTCTAGAGGCAAGCTTTAGGAAAATTGAAGCTATGGGTATCTTAACACCTTACACAAGCTTCCAACACGCCAAGAAGCATACATCTCTTCTCACTCCGCCTCCCACTCAAAAAAATAATTGTGACAATCTAGAATTTTGAGGTATTGCTGTGAAATGCAGAATGCGAGAGCATAACTAAAACAAAAATAAAGGGATTCTGTAAAGGAATAGTAGTGGTGTGACCTATTTGTTATAACCCAAGAAATCAGATTACAGATGCAATAGGCTGAATTGTGCACTACGTAATTTAACAAGAGTAAAAAAAGGTAATCAGTGGCAGTATCGGTAAGAAACTGTACAGGGAGGGGGGAGGGGCACAAATTTGAGTTAAAAGTCACGGGAATGCTATGAAGCACTCCCCTAAATATTTTTTATGCGTATTACCATTACAGACCAACAAATGACACTAATGTCCCGTTACCCCCTTTCAGACTGGAAATCTGTATTATTAGGTACCGATATGACCAAGATGTGTATAGATTGGTTTTTACGTTCATAGATCAAACTTAATAAACTAATTTTTTAAATAATTTACAGATGGAGTGCTATCTAATTTACATACCCACAAGGTTTATGGATAATCCCGGTTAAGAATACCTGACAAAATTCAGTTGTACTTTAATTCACACGGAGTTTCCCCCTGCGAGCTTTATACTATACCATAATGAAATTTCTGCTGATGTCAGACTAGACGCTAGCATTAAATGCTAAGTATTTGTAAGGAGGATCACCCATGATGCGCTTCGTACGAGATTTAAACCAGCCATTACCTGACGATGAGGTAGCTTGTAATTTTAATATTCAGGAATAACTACAGAATAGTTTCCCCAGATTTATTCTTTTTACAATTTCCATTATCGTCCATCTTTCCCTACATTAGGGAAAGTTGAAGCAGATTTCAGAATTTGTTTTATTTATAATGCCTAGAATATATCTTGTCAAACGCAACATTTGTTCGTACTGGCAGAAGATAAAATTTATATAAAAAACGCAGATTGATGGTAGAGGTTAAGAACTTAATATCACAGATTTTACGTATTTCATGGTCTGCAAAGTAGTGATTGAAAGAATAGTAATACAAAGGTAAATAATTTACACTACCAGGTTTAACCCTTAAACGGTCCAAACAAATCTGCGTTCAAATTCGTTGCTACAAAATCTATACTTTATATATTTTCAAATTTAAAAAAAAAATTTTAGACAAGTTTAAAGTTTTCAGATGTAAAAAAAAAGTAACTTTTACATCCAGATGTAAAAAACATTTTGGATAATTTAAGGGTTAAAAGACTAAGGAGCTTTGCTTTTACAAGCTTTAAAAAGATGTTTACACTGATAGGTGTGCATGTCGAGTTGCTTAGCCATAAAAGTATTTTGACGGGTGGTGAGCAGGTTACAAGTTACTTTAATGATCCAGTGTAACCCAAAGATGTAAAACAAAACTTTAGCCTCACATTCGTGGTAACGCTGTTTTGAGATTCAGTCTGAGAAAAGGTAATAAGACATCAGAGGAGAGGGAAGGCAGGAAGCTGCAAGGGACAGGCATAAAAAGGCATGTGTACGAATGGTATATAATACCGACAAGATGAGAGTAAGACATGTGCAACATCTGGATGGCGAAACGTCTACAATAAAGATACCCAGATGTTGCACATGTGTCTTACTCTCATAAAAGGCATCATAGGAATATAGACCTAGGGAAGCAGACATACAATCAAAAAAAAAAAACAATTACTGGGACAAACCTTGGTAAACAAAGTTGGAATTAATCTCGACCTTTATGTGTCAAAGTCATACAACACGTAGTAGACAACAGTGACATACTATATAAATAACCCTGGTTAATATTGTCACCCAGGAAAATGCACATCTGTTTACATCCAGATCCTCATTTGCTGCTAGGTGAACAGGGAGTGCAGGTGTTAAGGTACCCAATATTTCTACCTGTATCCCGACACACAACTATAGAGTTGCGTGCGCTACCGACATACAGGATATGGAAGAATTATAAAATTTAGAAAAAGTCTTACTGGGATAGTGTTACTGAGTGGGGGACGAGGCTTCTCAAAAGCCTAAAGTTAAAGTGAAGCTGTTTAAATGAAATAGATTGCACGAACAAGTAATCAAACAAGAAGAGTCATGCACTAATAAAATGTTAATGAAGATTAATACAAAATGGTGTAATACTACAGGAGGTTTAGTCATTTCGTTAATGAATACGCATTGAGACATCAATGTTAATAGGTACCATAAAGAGAAACTTACTTCAGTTCCTAGATTAATACTACAAAGACTTGTTAGTGTACTCTGTACACAGCTTCCCCATGTACTTTCCATACCGTTCCATTAGAGTCGCCCCACTGACTTTTCGACTTGACCCATTTGCCCACCTCAACCACCTGTTGAATCTCATTCTTCCAGCTTCCAAGGTGCAAAGAAAACTTACACAAAACTACATGTCCTCAGGCCGTTTGTACGAACACAGAAGGAAGTCTTTTGTCCTGAGAAGTGTGCTAGTCCACCGTTTACCTGACAATCTTCCATCAGGGTACACGACACTAGTTCACAAGACATTCCTGTTGGTCATTGCGATGACGTGTGTACAGAATAGATGATAATGTCATTAGTCATCATTGTGTAAGAAAGTTGACTTCTGTTAGGGCGCTCCACCGTGTCTGAGATGTGTTAACGAGTGTCAATATGCTCAATTACTTTCACTAGTTTCGATAATGTACCCGAATGCCTTCTCTGATCTAGTATTGGAGAGAATGGCAGTGTTCCATAGTTGACACTTTCAGACTAAACGAAGTTAAACTTTGCACACAGTGGTGAGGTTGTGTGAACACCGATCTTTAGCGAGCTTCACAACGGAACTAAAACAGTTAAGACTATCGAGAAGCGATAAAATCAGTTTTTCCACTATTTACATACCAATTATGTCTAAATTATAATAAAGGGGGAAGCGCTAAAGCAATAGGATTATACAGTCTGTAGGGGGGGGGGGAGATGTGCAAGGTATTAACGCTTTCCTCAGGGAATTTTAGTACAAATCTAATTTCTTTATATGAAGAGTCCCTCGCCAGTATCCAAGAACATTCCTTAAGTGCTCCCTATCTACAAATATTGCCGTCTCATAATTTAAATCTAGATAGAGTATCACTATACATATAAATGCAGTAATGCAGTCTTTAACGTGTCATATCTGAACCTATATGAGCCATGGTTATAAATTACCACATTTAATCAAATACTGCATATATTTTTTTGCAAAATGCTTTCAGCCTTATTTACAAAGTGCCTAATATATACATATAATTTTGTACTAGACCATACATTAAAACACTATTCAAAATAATTACAACTACCCATTTAGCCATACCTTGCTTGATCCTCTGTGAGAGCTGTGTATCAATGTGGTGGGGCTGTGGGCACAACTGGATGTCTGCAGCCGCGCCTAGCTACCACATAATACACAGACACTGATTAGCGCCTTTTGAGGAAGAATTTAGAATGAGTTGTTACACGAGTCTTCTGGTGGTAAGATAGTTTCGCTTTCTTGTCCCCGTTTGGGAAGTTCATTAACTGGCTCTCTTATTTTCGGAACTTTTTAAGAAGCTTCATAATAAAGGCAATGATGATCGCCTAAGTTTTTTATTTATATTTTATTTTTTTTTATATTTTATTTAAAACATCATAAATACAAGGCTGCTTAAAAATTAAATAGCATCACCATACATAATCTATAGAGTACAACAAGACACACACCATAAATACCAGAAAAAAAAACTTTGTAACTAATATGTATAGATATATACGACAAACACACCATAAAATGCATTGTTCGCATCGCTATTTTTTTTTTATATTTTATTTAAAACCAATACAGTTTAACATAAAAATAAAGAAACAGTATGGAACCTAATCAAATTAACTGACAAACGGATTGTACCTACATGCTCGCAAGATATTACAACAAAAACTTACATCAAGAACATAACTAAAAACAAAATTACATGTCACAGGGTCATGAATTGACATATATACAAAACCTTGCATATATATAAATTGTACATATAAATGACTTCTGACAAAGGTTCAATACACTTGAACATAAAATATACAAAGAAGTTATATCAGTTAAATCCTATCCTTCACATTAATCAAAAAACCAAAACCTAACATCATAATCTGACTAGATAATCTACATACTTATCCCTAACAATACAGCTGAACATTGTTCGCATCGCTGTTGGGCCGTGCGGACGCACTGCGCAGTAGCTCCCACTACACCTGGTTTCTGCGCAGTTTTCACTGTTCAGACATGGCGGAGTACACCGGCAGGAGGATTAACAGTCTGCATTGAGCTGTTGAAGGGTTCTCTGAGCCCTGCTACGATGAACGTCCTTCTTCCTGCGATTATTAGGGATTTATATGGAATTTTCGTCCTCGACCTCCGGGAGAGGGACGCAACGGCTAGTGCTACCCCTGCCCCTGGTGGTGCCTTTAGCAATAGAAGACAAAATGGGGTCCCGGTGGGCAAAGGATTAACACTGTTTGTATAAGTGGTAGGGGGGCAGTTACTGGGGCAAACGAGCATACTTTGCTCCTGCTTCTCAGGGACCCCCTATGGGTCCCCAACGGGGAAAGTATATGGTGTTTGCCTTAAAGGGAGACCAGAGTTTCCTAAAATAAATCGTAACCGGCGTCACGCAGACTTGTTGAAGAGTATCAGGAGGGAAGGTGACGGTGAACCGGCAGTGGACGTGTTATGCATGAGTATCCAATACAACGTGGGTAAAGGTCAGGAATGTCCTTTCGAGGCGCGGGCTTATGTAAAAAGGAGGTATTCCACTTGGAAAAGTTTTTGGAACGAGGGATAGGGAAAAAGGGGCCCCAAATAGGGACACCTGAGGGCTCTTTTCCCTAAAATGATTTGGTGGGCCTATACCGTCCTACGTCATGTTGGGGAGTCCGGGACGCGGGGTTTTTGTAACTATGCCGGCCAGAGAAAGACCGTCGACTTTGTGGCTCAAAATATCTATGGCAGCTCACGTCTGAAGGCAGCCCACAGGGGTCCTGGTACGTTGGGAGTGGAGCGAGACCATGTGAGTTTGGCCTGAGTTGGGGGGAGGGGGAACCAGTGCGAGTGGTCGATGGATGAGAGGTAGAAGGGGGAAATTCGCGGCGGACCTGTGTTACCATCCCGAGGTGAAGGGAGGGGCCCCCTGCTGAGGGGGGCGGGTGGGCCCGGGAAGGTCTACCAGGAGAAAATTGCTGGATGCGGTGCTGAAGGGGTTCTTCGACGAGAGGGGGCCGGGGAGGGTGGTCCAGAAATAAGTGAGATACAGCTGATGGTTTTAGCACAGGAAAGGGAAGGGTTCGAGGAATGCCAGAGAACTGGAATGGTGGTGGAAGTCTCAGGAGGACGTGCAGGGAATAGATTTTTTGTGTGATGAGAGCTCACGAAAAAGGGGCTGCGGGTGCTTTTGACCTCGATGAGGGTTTTTAAAAACCCCGGGGAGGACCGGGAAGAATTTAGGGGAGTTGTAGGGGGAAAAGGTAGGCAGGGGAGGGGGTGTACGGGGAAAATCAGGGGGGGGGGAAAGGGGGGGTGGAGGCCAGGTTAGAAAAAAGGATAAAAATGGTACAGGTATGAGAAAGGGAAGGGGGGAAGATACAGCGGCATAGGGGTAAGCCCCTCTTCTAGCAAATTCAAGTGCACAATAAATGCAATGGGCTTAAATCGAGGGAAAAAGGGTTTGGTTAGATGGTTTTACGAAGGGGTTTATGGGATGATATTTTTTTTTGCGGGAGCATAACCATAGGTTAGGGAGTGAATTGAGTTTGAGGGTTATAAAATGTTTGTCAGTAATGCTTTGCAATTAAAAGGAGGGGTAGCAGTAGCTGAAAAGGGAACCAGCCCTTTGGGTTCGGTCATGGTTGGGGGGGGGGTGGGGGGGGGAGGGTTGTAAGGGTAGATGGGCACTGGGGGTGAGGAGAGTATGTTTCATTGGTGTAAAATATGCCAGCATGTAACAATGTTAGAGTTAAAGTTGATTTTGTACGTGATGTTTGATGTATTATTTGCGGGGTTTACCTTCCATAACTGTAATTGGAGGTGATTGGAACTGTGTGATTAGGTAGGGGGATGGGGACGCCGAGGGGGGCAGGATGTGTTTTGGGTGCACTAGGGGAAGTGTTGAGGGATGTGGGTGTTGTAGATGTGGTGGGCAGGGGGGAGTATGGGTGGAGCACACGTTTATATTCGTGGGAATTATGGGGCGAGGTTAGATAGATATATGTGATGCAGGGGATTGGTGTGGAGAGAGTGAGGCTTTTGATGTCGGTTTTTCGGATCACAGGGCGGTGATAGCTGATCTGCGGGGATGGATAGTTCGCATATATGCGGGTATTTGGGAAAAAGAATGTGAGGCTTCTGCAGGAGGGGATGAAGGCTCATCCTTTGAGGAATGGTGGCAGACATTGCTGGGAGGGTAGGGATGGTGGGATGGATTTGCTTGACTGGTGGAGATGCGAGCAAAGACAGCAATAGCAGAGTTTTTTAGGATACGTGGAAAGGAAAAGGCAAGGTGGAGATATGGTTTGCAAAACTACCTGGAGGACAGTTGAATGCTGTTTATGAAAGGGGGGGGGGGAAAGGGGAAAATGTGCGAGGGGAGGTGGATGCTTTAAAGGGGTAGGATTGAAGGATTACATAATGAAAGGTTTAACGCGATTAGAGTTAGGGCAGGATTAGAGGAGGTGTTAAAGGGTGATCGACCATCAGGTTTTGTCCTGAGAAAAAATTTAGGGAAAGGCAGATGGTGACTACCATAGCGCATCTAAGTGGTCGCTGAGGGGGGGGGTTATGTGGTGGGTCAAGGTCTTACTGATACAGATGATATTAGTGGTTATGCTGATTATTGGTTTAGGGAGAAATGGAGGGGGAACAAGGAAGTTGTCAGTGAGGGGGTTTTTTTGGGGTTATGCAGAAACTATTGTATTGGGACAAGAGGAACAGAAAATGCTGGAGGGTAGTATTAGTGAGGAGGAGGTGGGGGGGGGCGTTTACGGGAGGGTCAGGGTAAGACGCCGGGCATTGAGGGAATACCGAATGATTTTTATAGAGTTTATTGGGAATGATTAGGTTGGGTTAGTGGAAGTCTTGAATCATATGGGGAGCAGTGGGGGGATGGGGAAGACCCAGAAAACAGGGATCGTTGTGTTGGTGCCAAGAAGAAGGATGGGAAAGAAATTGAATGATTATAGAGCAATATCCTTAATGTGTGCGATTATAAAATTTTTGCAAAAAATTTTGGGCAATAGACTGAAGAAGGTTCTAGGATCAGTGGTACATGGGGGACAGTTTGGCATTCCGGGAAGAAGTATGAGGGATGGGCATAGTCAAATAAGGGATTTATTGAGGACTGCACCGGAGGGGGAATACTTGGATTAGATTGGGCTAATGCGTAGATTGTGTGAATAGGGATTTCTTAAAAGTTTTTTGGAACAGCTGGGTTTGGGGAGAAGGTGGTGAATGGGTGCAAACCTTGTATGAGGGAGGGAGTTATTAGGGTACAGGTTTTAAAGGTAAGTTGGGGGACCCAGTACTGATGGAGAGAGGTTTGAGGCAGGGCTTTTCCACTCTCTCAGTTATTGTTTGCCTGCGTACAGAATCCATTTTATGGGGTGGTGGGTGAGGTGATGATTGAACATGGGATTAGGGGGGGTGGGAGGGGGGGATTGTGGGGGTACGTAGAATGAAACACCGTGCTGGTAAGGCATGAGGAAGATCTAAGGAAAAATTTGGGGGAATCATTCAGATTTTTGGGGGCGCCACGGTATGAGAGTTAATTTAATGAAGTCGAGACTATTAGAGGTGGGGATTGGGGGGGAGGGGCTTGGGGGAGGGTTGGGATGGTCATAGTGGACAGAATTAAGGGTTTTTGGAATATGGTACATGGCGGGAAATGCAGGAAAGTAGGAAGATAAATTCGGGAAATTTGTTACGAGCAGGGTTTTTGGGTAGGCTAGGAGCTTAAGGGCTAGGGACGTAACATTACAGCAGAGAGTTTTAGTGGTCAACCTCTGGTGAAAAGTAAGGTGTGGGGAATGGCTGAGGTGTTCCCTTTAAGAGCAGAGGATATTGCAGAGATCCAGAGGAAGGTTTCTAAGGTATGTGTGGGGGTTTGGGGGGCATGGTTGAGCAAAGGGCGTGGTGATGACGGAGGGGAGACGTGGGGGTCTTGGCCTGATGTCATTGGGTCATAGAGTAATGGCTTTAAAATATTAAACAAAGATATATTCGGACTGGGGGGAATAGAGGAGTCAGGGTAGGTAGGGTAATGGAGGATGCACGAAGATGGTGGTGTGGAAGGGATTTGAGGTATTGTGAGGATATGTTGAGGTTTTATTACATGTTAACAGGTGTCCACGTTAAAGGTCAAACGAATGGGGGTGCTGTGGTAGGCAAGGGTGTCTTACAGGGGCTTGCTGTATATCCAACATATGACTGGATAAGCATATGGAGGAA